CACTAGTATACTAGTATGCATACTCACCAATCCACTTATAGAAAACAACTATACATGTATCTCTATCTATTTATCATATGTCCATTATTTCAATGAGCATATCATGTTTTAGAATAATGCACATGTATGGTATTGACATCCGTGTAATTGTTCCGCATATTGAACATGTAATAATGCACAGACAAACTCCTAGGCACTCTGGGCACCCTAATCTTGAGCAGATCTGGGATATCCATGTATGTCTGCATGTGATTATTGGGAGCTACAGTCCTGCTGCACTGGAGCTGCCCAGCACTGTTATTCCTGCAGTGTATTTTATGTATGTCTCATTGCTGCCCTTACAGTAAAGTGCTCCCCTTAGTCTACACTAACCACTATGCTATCAATAAACACCAACCACTACAGTGCCTTAAAAATATTACCCCTACACTGCCTTAACCCCTTAAGGATGGAGCCAAATGTGAACGAAACAAAATGTAAACAAAACCTGGCATTTGCGCTACATGTCTGTCCAACCGTAATTCACCTCTTTCATATTAAATACACCCACCTTTATTATATATCATTTTATTCAGGGAAAACAGGGCTTTCATTTAATATCAAATATTTAGCTATGAAACATAATTTAATATGAAAAAAATGGGAGAAAATAATATATTTTTTTAGTTCTACATGACATTTTAACGGCCAATGTCATAATACTGTTTGCTTTTACTGCAATAAAATACACATATTTGTATTCAGCAAAGTCTCACGTGTAAAACAGTACCCCCTATGTACAGGTTTTATGGCGTTTTGGGAAGTTACAGGTTCAAATATAGCCCGTTACATTTGAAATTGAAATTCGCCAGATTGGTTACGTTGACTTTGGGACTTTATAGTAGCACAGGAAAGAAATTTACACCCATAATGGCATATCATTTGCAATAGTAGACAACCCAAGGTATTGCAAATGGGGTATGTCCAGTCTTTTTAGTAGCCATTTGGTCACAAACACTGGCCAAAGTTAGTGTTAGTATTTGTTTGTGTGTGAAAAATGCAAAAAACGCCAATTTTGGCCAGTGTTTGTGACTAAGTGGCTACTAAAAAAGACTGGACATACCCCGTTTGCAAAACCTTGGGTTGTCTACTATTGCAAATGGTATGCCATCATAGGTGTCATTTTCATTCTTGGGCTACCATAGGGTCTCAAAGGCAACGTAACCAATCTGGCAAATTTTAATGTGAAACAAATGAAACACAAGCCTTATATTTGACGCTGTAACTTTTGAAAACACCATAAAACCTGTACATGATGGGTACTGTTGTACTCGGGAGACTTCGCTGAACACAAATATTTGTGTTTCAAAACAGTAAAAAGTATCGCAGCAATAATATCGTCTGTGTAAGTGTTGTTTGTGCGTGACAAATGCAAAAAACGTCACTTTTACTGGCGATATCATCGTTGTAATACATTTTACTGTTTTGAAACACTAATATTTGTGTTCAGCGAAGTCTCCTGAGTAGAACAGTACCCCCCATGTACAGGTTTTATGGTGTCTTGGAAAGTTATAGGGTTACATATAGTGCTAGCAAATTAAATTCCCTTTACTTTCGGCATGGGTTGTCAGGCAGGTCCCGCTAATTGTAATTAATTAAGATACCTAATTATGTAAAAATATTATATAAATATATATGTAGAATTAATATATGTATATATATATATATATATATATATATAATTTTTTTTAAATATTTTTATTTATATATAGGTATATATATAGTGATATATACGTATATATTTATGCATATAGATATATATATTATTTCGTTCTACATGTATTTTGATATAAATATATATATATATTAATATCACAATACAGTTAGAACGAAATAACACACATCTATATAATTTTTTATTATTTTTTTTTAATTATTTTTTTAATTTTATTTTTTAACGTATTTACATATAAAAAAAATTTATATTATATTATTATATATATTTAATCAGTATCAGTCTACGTGTAATTTGATATTAATATATATATAATTATATATATATATTTATAGTAAAATACACCTAGACAGTATATGTGTGTGTATGTATATGTATATATATATATACTTAGATCACATATATATAATATATATATGTGATCTAAGTATATTATTATTTTTTTTACACTTATTTTAACTTATTTATTTTATTTCCAGCCAGCCGGGGGACCACCTGTCATTACAGGCAGTCCCCCTGCTGGCAATGCAGCAGGCAGCTAACCCTGCCATGTGATTGTGAGGTCTTTACAAGGACCTCACTCTCACATGGCCGGGGGGGCTGCCAGGGGGTCGGACATGCCGCGGGGGGCTCCCTGGGAGTCCCCCCAACCGCGATCGCCGGCGTGGGATCGCCGGCGACCGGGTAAGTATAGAAAGACCGGAGGGCGTACTATTACGCCCAGCGGCGTTTAGAGCCGCCTAAAATAGGGCGTAATAGTACGCCCTCCGGTCTTAAGGGGTTAAAGGGGAACTATATATATATATATATATATATATATATATATATATATATATATATATATATATATATATAAATATATATATACACAACACACACATACATTTATTAAGCATTTGTAATGCATAAACAAATACAATACACAGAAATGTAAAAAAAATGAAAATATCCACTGTCTAAAATTTCCTTTTTTATTATTATTCTGAATCATACTTTTTTTATTATCATTATTATTCTTATTTTATTATTTATATAGCGCAAGCAAATTCCGTATTGACATTTATACAGCGCCACCTTATTCTGTGCTTTATAATATTATAAAGGGGGAAACTTAACAATAAATGAGACAGTTACAAAATGTTACATAGAGAATGGGTTGATGACGACCCTGCTCAAACAAGCTTATGATCTTTTGAGAGGTCTCATAATCATAATGCTTTTGCACTGAATAAAGGTTAAATAAAATAATCATCAAGAAAAATATTTTTTGCATATGGCAGAAGTCGGTGATCTTACACACCTGGTTGAGCTTTGAAAAACCAACCAACCTACCCTTGAAAGCCTATGGGAGACGGAGCAGTCAAGGTCATTTCAGCTCAACTCTAAATTATTTACTTCCTTCTCAGCATATCTATGTAATATGGGTTCTTTGCTAAGTGACAGTAGTTTGGCTGCTGTCACTATGCATGTTTTTAAGTTAACTTGGCAGTTTCCCCAGTGCTGCTGTTCTGTTCTGGTATTGTGGAGGTCACCTGACCCACCACGTCAATAAAGAGATGACAGCGGGAGGGCCCTGATTTACTCTGAAAGGAAACCAAGATGGCCGCTTTTTGGCTCTCATCCACATCCTTTGGGTCTGAGTTTTCCCTTTGAATTTCTATTTCGTCCTTGTCATTTCTGGGGACTTAACATTCATGAGCACTAAAATCAGTCTGCAGTGCAAGCTGCTTTCTTGTATTCTTAAAGAGAAAGCAGGGAAAAAAAAGAAAAGAATAGAAAAAAAATTGTTTTGTTTTATGCTTCAAAAAGGAATGATTTTATAACAAATTGCATAGCAAATAAATAGACGTAAATGTCAGTTCAGCATCTAACCAGAACACCCTTCTTTACACACTGGATACTATGTCAAATGGCACACAGATGAAAGAAAGTATTTAACAATTATCAAGGTACAAGAGAAAATGGAAAATAATGCATTATGACTACAGGAAAGGTGTTGCAATGAAATACATTAATATAAGAAAAATATGTCAGAAAGAAGCAAGACATTCATGGACCAATTTAAAAGGTTAAATGACTGTATATCTAAAGTTTTAGAGGAATAATCACATTCCATTTTTTTCCCCTTTTATTTTTCATTCTAGTAAGCAACACTGTAGTGTTTTCTGGGTATAAATGTCAAACTTAAATAAATAAAATCTAATGTATCTCTGCCTCCTTAACCAGTGGATCATCCTTCATTGTCCCACAATTCTCTGCAATGCAGGCTAGTGAATAGACACACTGTTTACCTCTCTATTGATGCACATATTATCAATACTGAAGTGCCATTTGTGCATGTTTGCCAAATCTATGAAAGGCCAGTAGTGCGCATGCATCATCTGGAACATATAATGTGATGCTGCAAGTGTAGAGCAGCTGTATCCGGTCTTTAAAAAAAACTGTATCTCTTGTAGACAGCAGCTTATTGTTGTTATTCTGTTATTAACTACTTCACTACTTAAATTGAGTATAAACATTCTTATTGTCATGAGTTTTGCAGAATAAAATTGATTTCAAAAAGACTTACCGTATATACTCGAGTATAAGTCGAGTTTTTTTTTGTGCTGAAAAACCCCCACTCGACTTATACTCGAGTCACTGTCTTTATTATGGCAACTTACATTGCCATAATACAGACCAGGACCGCCGGGCTCATTACAAGCCCGGCGGTCCTGTTGGGGGCTGGCAGAGAGCTGTTACTTACCTTTCCTGCAGCTCCTGTCAGCTCACTTCTCTCTCCTCCGGTCCGATCAGCTCCCCTGTCGGCTCCACTGTAAATCTCGCAAGAGCCACGGGGAATGCTCTGCGCGGCCGCAAGACTTACAGTGGAGGAGAAGGGAGCTGACAGTAACGGAGGAGAGAGAAGGGAGCTGCCAGGAGCTGCAGGAAAGGTAAGTACCAGCCCCCCTCCTGCACAGCCCATCCACTGGACCACCATGGAATGAGAGCCCCCCTCCCTGGCCAGCTAACAAGCAGGGAGGGGGGACGAAAATAAATATAAATAAAAAATTAAATAATAATCTAATTAAAAAAAATATTAATAATATATATAAAAAATAATAATAATAATTTTAAAAAATAATAAAAATGCCCACCCCCCCACCAAGGCTCTGCATCACATACACACACTGCACTCACACACACATACACACACTGCACTCATACACACACTGCATTCATACACACACACACTGCACTCATACACACACAAACACTGCACTCATACACATACACACACTGTATTCATACACACACTGCATTCATACAAACACACTGCATTATATACACACACACTGCATTCATTATATACACACACTGTAAATAAATATTCAATTAATATAATTTTTTGGGGATCTCATTTTATTTAGAAATTTACCAGTAGCTGCTGCATTTCCCACCCTAGTCTTATACTCGAGTCGATAAGTTTTTCCAGTTTTTTGGGGTAAAATTAGGGGTCTCGACTTATATTTGGGTCGACTTATACTCGGGTATATACGGTACTTACCCCTATTTGTACTCTAATTATGATAAATATATAAAATGAGGAATACATGTTTCTGCCAGAAACCACTAGATACTGATATAAGGTCTTGAGGTTTGCAAAAAATGTAAACTCACTCCCTGCTTCAAAACAGTACAAGTTTCAATGGGTTATATCATTCCTACAGTCAGAAAGGTGAGAGGTGTTACAGTCATAAATATTGCTATAGCAGTTTTAGATGCAATTATTTAAAAAAATAAAAATAATTTAACTGTATGTACTGTATGTATGTGTTTTTTTTCCTCTGTGGCAGCCTTCTCTGCCTACACTCTGTCAATATAGTATTTACTGTATGTGGGAATGATTTTCAAATGAAGACATTCTTTGTATAATCCGTTAATCAAATTTTTTGCAAGTTGTACTGCTAGTAAAGGCTTGAGGGTTCTTTCTAATACCTATATGCCAAATATTTGACAATTTTTATTTATCTATTGTGTTACTTCTACTATAGGTGAGAAAAAAAATATTTACGCGTTTATATTAACATTTCAGAACTTATGTGAAATATTGAAAGATAAAGGACACTGTATACTATTTAAAACTTTTCATTTCCTGAATGAATAAGTAAAAAAAAAAAGTTTTGCAAATTTACAAAATTGGAATTTTTAAATTTGTCTGCAAAGTAATATATACACAAAATTGCTGTGTTATGACATGTTTGCAAATTAGCTATGCTTCCCTTGCTTCAAATACATGTTATGCTACTATGTTTTCAATCAAAAAGTGTTTGGTAATGAAGCAATTAAGTGTTATCTGAAGGGTTTTTCAGAATAATAACAACATAAAAGTTAAAAGCCATGTTATGCCTCTTTGTGCTATGCATCAGTGATCTGGGGACATATGCTGCATATGAAGGAATGCCCAAGCACATATCCGTGTTTGTACTTCACTTTCTGATTAGAGTGTAACTGAAGTATCATTGAAACATATTAGCATTAAAAACATAGAACTGTGTACCTAAATATGTGTTTTGCCTACTACTGCTGCATTCCTTGTCGTAAAAAAACATTGCTACACGGATGACACTATGTCCTCACACTTTTATTTTGAAATTCCACTAATGAACTCATTATAAACTCACTCAATTATAAATGAGTCTTATTGATTTAATAAATATCATTTGGTTTCATTATAAATACAATAAAATATAAAAAATAATAAAAGTTAAATATCTAGAACACGTGTGTATATTATTCCTGAACACATTATTAAATAAGCTGATTTTTTACATAAGGAAATAATTCTATGATACAATGGGTGGACTAACAGACATGTAATTCTAACCACACAAATGGCACAGGAACAGAGGGGTCGAGGGGCCCTGCTTAATGAGCTTACATGCTAAAGGGAGTGTGGTATAGTGACACAAAGGGTATAAGTAGGGGTAATAAAATAGGTTGCAAGGAAAGTAATCACTACGAACTTAGTAGGTTATTTTTTACAGTTACAGGAGAGGAGACATGGGGGCAGGGGGGATGAAAACCTGCTAACAGTTTAAATTACATGCTTCCTGAAGAAGTGTATTTTCAAAGATTTTTTGAAGGAGTGGAGATTGGGTGAAAGTCTAATGGAGAAGGGAAGGGAGTTCCACAGAAAAGGTGCAGCCCTGGAGAAGTCTTGGAGGCGAGCATCAGATGTGGGAGTACGGCCAGAGGATAGGCGTAGGTCTTCGGCAGAGTGCAGGAGCCTCAACGGGACATATTTGTGTATCTGGGAGTGTGATGAAACTACCTGGAGCCTGTATGCAGAACCCCTTTCTTTCTTGTGTCTTCCTTTGAATTACTGTTTCCCCCGGCTTGTTACTACGTTTCCCCTATTTTTTCATATTTTATGCCTGTTTCGTCTCCCGAATGGGGACCTCCCCAGTGCCCCATTAGAACATTCCCACCAATTAATCAGAACGTTCACATTTGTAACATAAGTGCGAAACCACAACGTTCGCCCTGACAACATAGTGTAAAACCGCAAAGGAAGTAATTAATGAGTGGTCCCCTGGGTGGCCGCCATTTCGTATAGATGAACGCTAACCATGGGAAGCATTCATGCACCAAAAGGAGCCACTTCCCATGCAGGTTTCAATATCTGAGCCGCACAAACGGAGACAGGTTGGGGTCGGTCCTCAGTGGGGACATTTGCGGTTGGTGGGGACATTTCTGGGGGCACTGGCTAGTTTGGCGGGATTTTCTGTGCCTGGAAGACAAAGGGGCAACCTCTTTTCCAGTGCTTTGGCTACCAGGGCTTCCCCTACCTAGGAGACCTATTTTCCGGCCTTTGGCTCCCAGGTAGGGAGGATCCTGGGATATGACCCCTGTCATCTTGAAACGAAGACCACTTGCATGGGGCTATGTATAAAAACTGTGTGCACCAATGAAGATTGTCAGAGTTGTACCTTTCATCTAGTCTCGATTGATGTTTGGGGAAGGTATGGCTGACCTGCTGAATTTACTTGTATGCTGCACTTTGATTCCTGGGAACGTGGGAATCAGTTCCAGATCTGCGAGCTATAATCACTAAATACCTAGCAGTTCGGGGGGGAACCAAAAGAACGGAGAATGGAATACCAGTGTTCGTTACAGGGAGGATAGGTAGGTTGGAGCAGCATTATGTAGGGACTTGTAAGCAAGCACCAGAATCTTAAATTGAGCCCTATATCTAACTGGAAGCGGACAGGAAAATTAGCCTCGCAGCCGCACTCATTATAGATTGCAGCGGTGCAATCTGGGAACACTTAAGACCACTGAGAAGGGGATTGCAGTAGTCAAGGCGAGATCAACAGCATGGACCAACACCTTAGCCACGTCTGGTGTTAAATAAGGGCGGATGCGAGCTATCTTTTTGAGATGGAAGCGGCAGGATTTGGCAATCGACTGAACATGAGGGGTGAAGGAGAGGTCGGAGTCAAAGAGAACACTTAGGCAGCAAACCTGTGAGGTAGAGTTGATGGTGGCGCCATTGAGTTGAAGGGAGACAGACACGGGAGTAGCAACGCTTGAGGGAGGAAAGACCAGAAGCTCTGTTTTGGACAGGTTCAGTTTAAGGAAGTGAGCAGCCATCCAGTTGGAAATCGCGGAGAGGCAGCCAGAGACACAAGTCAAGATGGATGGAGAGAAATCAGGAGAGGACAGGTAGATTTGTGTGTCATCTGCATATAAATGATAATGGAAGCCAAAGGAACTGATTAGTTTACCAAGGGAGACAGTACACATAGAGAACAGTAGGGGACCAAGTACAGAATCTTGGGTAACGCCAACAGAAAGGGGTTGGTGAGAAGAGGCAGAGCTAGATAAAGAAACACTGAAAAATAACTGGGAGAGGTATCAGGAGCACCAGGGGAGAGCAGTATCCCATAGACCGAGATTACGGAGAATGAGAAGAAGCTATTGTTGATCAACAGTGTCAAAGGCAGCAGAAAGATCAAGGAGAATTAGGATAGAGTAATGGCCGCGATATTTAGCAGTGATTAAATTGTTGGATACTTTGGTCACAGCTGTTTCAACAGAGTGACGAGGGTGGAAGCCAGACTGTGTTGGATTTGAGGAAGTCTGTAAATCTCGCATACACAACTCTCTCAAGGATCTTGGAGGCAAATGGCAGTAGCGATTTAGGATAGTAGTTGGATAAGGAGTTGGGGTCAAGGTTGGTCTTTTTCAAAATCAGCATTATGGTTGCATGCTTGAAGCGTGAAGGAAATGTGCCGGAGGAAAGGGAGAGATTGAAAATTTTAGTGAGAGGAAGAGCAAGAGAGGAAGACAGAGTGCGGATGAGATATGAGGGAATAGGATTGAGGGAATAGATGGTGGGGCGGGAGGACCAGAGCAGAGCAGAAACCTCTTTGTTGTAGTAGGTGGGAATGAGCATTAAACAGAGGAAAGAGTTGAGTGATGTATTGGAAGAGGAGGAAGAGAGATTAGAGATCTCTTCCCTGATTGTAGAAATCTTCTCAGTGAAGTGAGTTGCAAAGTTTGTGGCTGACAAGGCGGTAGGAGGAGGGGAAGCAACAGGGTGAAGTAGAGCATTAAAAGTGTGAAAAAGGCATTTGGGTTGGAGGGACAGTGTGCTTATGAGGGTGTTGAAGTAATTTACTTTTGCAGAGGAAAGAGCCAGGAAAGAGTGTAGGAGCGCAGCATACATGTATAGTGGAGGAAGTCAGGTGCAGAGTGAGACTTTCTCCAGCAGCGTTCAGCAATTCTTGAACATTTTTGGAGATATCGGGTAAGCTTGGTGTGCCAGGTTTGTAATTGGGAACGCTTGCTGCGTTTAAATGTAGGAAGTGCCATGATGTCTAGTTGAGAGGAGGGAGTGGAGTTGTAGAGTGAGTTTGCAGAGTTAGGGCAAGTGAGATTTGAGATGGGTAAAAAGAGAGTTTAAAGTTTGGTGGAGGAATGCTGGAGATCAAGGCAGTGGAGGTTTCTGAGAGATTGGAGAGTTGAAGGTGGTGAAATTTGGTTATGGGGTATGCTGATGTCCAAGGTTAGCAGATAGTGGTCAGATAAAGGAATGGAACAGTGGAGAGATTGGAGGTGGTGAAGATAAGGTCAAGAGTATTTCCTGCTGTATGACTTGCTGAAGTAGACCCCTGTGTGAGGCCAAAGGGGGAGATTACAGAGAGCAGACGGGAGGCATCAGGACAAGTGAGGTTGTTGATTGGGATATTAAAGTCCCCAAGTATGAGGGAAGGCGTGCGATAGATGATGACAATTCTTAAAGAAGTGGGCTTAAATGTGCGGACAGTGTGAACTTCAAAGGAAGTAAAGGATAGTGTAGGGGCAGGGAGGATATGTTGAAAAGTACATTGAGGGGAGAGAATGTTACCTACACTGACGCCTTTACAGTTGAGTCTGGGAGTGTGGGAGAATTGTAGTCCTCCGAAACATAAAGAAGCTGGAGAAGCTGGAGTAGCGGTATCAGAGGGGGACAACCAGGTCTCAGTGA